AGGGAACCTGGAACCTCCCCCTTTCCTGGGGACCACCCTGTTACATGTCTATAATTATTGCCTCACCCTATTCTGATCCAGTCTGATTGTTCAACATCCTGGCCATGGATGCAGCCCCTTCCCTCATCCCTCTCCCCTCTAAACCTTGATCGTGTTGCCTTTGCAAATATGCTCTTTACTGGCCTCCAAGGGGTGGAACCTTTGCAACTCAAGGCAGGAAAAGGCTTTTGCTCTGCCATCTCTTCCTTGGTGGAGAGCACACACCTTGCCTCTGCATGAATTGGGCAATCATTTTGGGGTTATGGGAAACTTCAGGACATAAGATAAACCAAACAGACAAAACCCTCATTAGTTAATATTTCTGAAAATTAACAAATATAGGGATTAGCAACTATTTGTGTGGAAAACTGCTGTTGGAAAGAACGTAATGATTAAATTGAGTACATGATCATGGCCAAATTATTTCATCTCTCCTAGTCTCACTTTCCTCATCTATATAATGGGAATACAAATCATATTGAACTGGATGGGTTGTGGAAGGGACTAAATGAGAGAGTATATGCCAAATGGCATGTGCATACAAAAGGTGGTAGATCAGATGACCATTGTCCATGATCTCCATCATCATCATCATTCATCATCATCATAAGGGAGGGGCTGCCAGACAGGATCTTTCTTCATGTGTTGATGTTAATTTAGGGAGAAAGGAATTGAAGGTTTCATGTTAGATTTTCTTTTCCCTTGAGAACATCTTAACAAAGGGCATGACCTATGGGCATATGAATGGTCATGGCCAAGGGCCACCATTTCCCTATGACTTTGGTCTGTGAGACAGGGAATGTTCTCTTCTGCTGATTGTAAGGAAAAACTAAGGGGCTGATAACATCTCTGAACTCTTAATTGCTTTCTAGATTGGGTAAAGGTCAGTGAGGAGAGACTACAGTGCTGTGGTTACATCCAGCAAAAGCCACTGTCGCACTTGGCTCCCATGCTTGAATGCACAGTTAGAATTTTCTAAATCTCAACAGGGGTTCAACTGAGGGAAGGGGGGAGCACATGGATACATTACCAGGAATGGAGAGTGCTAGACCTCTCCCATACAGCATTAGCACAAGGAGCAGAAATAGCTGGAAGAAACCTGAAATTTGCCCCAGAGAGAATTCCTCATTGAAAATAGTGGATTTTAATTAAGCTTGTGGTTACTGTCACTGATTTTTGTAATGACAACATTTAAAAATTTTTGTCTTTAAGGCTCTGACATCTTGGGACCTTGCTAATCCTAGAGGGATTGCTCCAGGTCTAGTCAATTCTTAGAAATAGTAATGGATTCACATGTGAACATACAAACCAACCCACTCAGAGCCCACATCCCCCAACGACCTCTTCTATTCGACACTGACACTTTGGGCCACTATCCCCATAATCCCCTAGGCCAGGTATGGGACAATTAGGGACTGTCTCTATATCTGGAGCTGCTAAAATTATTCAAACTATCCAACCCCAAGTCTCCTTATCTTGCCTTACCCATTCCTCCCATAGAAAAAACTCAATAAAAACTCTGGCCCACGTTTCACCCTTATTCCCTCTGCCTCCCGACTGAGGCTGGTGCTACCCTGTGTGGCCTGCCTGGGTGGGCTACCTCCTGTTTCTAGGGATTGGAAAGTAAAAACTTCCTTGGTGACAGTCACTTCTGTCTCAATGTATCTTGCCATATCTGATTAAAACAAATTCTGGGGAACCTTAAAACAACTTGGGTGGTGGAGATTCTTTAGATATTGAACATTCTAATAAGTCATATCCAGGTATTTACTCATTAAGCTCAGTGCCCTGAAGTGTCATGGGGACAGCACTCTCAACTCAGTGGTGGGATGTTTACTCATCCCCAGTCCCCTTGCAGTTATATGCTGCCTTGTCCTACACTTATCATTTGTTCATGGGTCTCTCTCCCTTAGGCCACAAAGCTTTGACACCATAGCTCCATCTGTTATCCAGCACTGACATCAAGTCTCCATCTTTCCATATTTCTCAGTTTTGCTACCTTCCCCATAGCACTGTGGTAACTCTGGACTTGAGTCCTATCAGCTAAACAGCTTCAGTGAAAAGGTACAATGTCTTTCCCAATACTGTCAATAGAAGTTGTTAAACTGATTTCCATTGGCATGGTTGGGGCCATGTAGCCAGCTTTAAACTAGTTACCATGTGGCCAGGAGGGTGTGGCACCCTGATGGACAATCTGGGTCTCATGTCCCTCCCTGCAGCCATGGCCCGAGGTCAGACCTAACTGAGCCATGAAGGTGGAGGCAGGTTGGTTCCCCGAGGAAAACTGGGTGCTGTTAACAGAGGCTGGAGGCGGAGATGCGGAGACAGAAATAGCAGAATGTCTGTGGCAACTTACAAAGTCGAAAGGGCTTATTAAAAGACAACAATTAGCTGTTAGATTACTTTCTAGTAGAAGGGAAGGAGGTGTGTGTTGCTTTTACCAATCTTTCTGTGAACACTTGTATTATAATATAATCTTTAGCCCTGTTCCTTAGTTAGGAGACATATTCCATAAGACGTCAAGACAACTGGGGTCTATTTCATAAACTCTACAAAGCAGAAATCACACTGATTTGGGGGGGAAAAAAGCATTTGAGGAGTCTTAAAATTCAGAGCATTAATTTTCCCCAAATGAGCTTCAGGAGACAAAGTGAACCAAAATGCTTATCTGTTTCTACCTCTATATTTATAGCATACCTACATCTACGATCTCTATCTCTGTCTCTACATACATTGTATCTAGAAATGCTGACTGTTAACATTTCTCCAATGCAAGGTGTTGGGACACAAGCACAAGCTCTCTTAGTGCTTTTAATAAGGGAGGCTTGTTCTGGCCATGGTCAAATGAAACTCTCCTAAATTCTCTCTCCTAAATTCCCCTTCAATTTCCTATGGAATCCTTCCTTTTTTCTCCATTTCATATACATATATATATAATTTTTAAAATTTCTTTCCCAGCCCAAATCTGCTTCCTGGCTATTTGTAAGAGCTGTTGTGCCACCCACAGGTGGCTGGTATCTTGGACAGAGCTATCAGCATTTTGTCTTTTGTGTCCTTCCTTAATTTGTAATTTCTTTTTCTTTAACCCAATTTTTTTTTTAAGATTTATTTGTTTATTTATTTATATAAGTACTGGGTACAGTCAGAAGCGCGGGAGGATGAGAGGATTCACCAGAGCCAGAGCAGGGATCAGAACAGGTAGACTGATGAAATACACTGCTGAGGGGAGCAGCGGGTGGCAGGAGAGGTCTGCGCGCCATATGGGATCCTCTCCAGTGGCCAGGGATCGAAACGGCCCTGCAGAGGCTGCGGGCAGCTTCGCAGCCCAGTGCTCAACTGCTGCACCACCAGGGAGGCCCCAGTCCTTCCTTAATTTGAATGAGTGAATGTAACAGGAACCAGGGTTTGCTCAAGTGCCATCATGTCTTAAGGATGTTGCTAGCAGTTGTGATATTTGGTTTTGCAAGTGACAACGAAGCCAAATCAAACTGACATGGGAATTTATTGGCTCAGGTAACTCAAATATCTAGGGTTGGTGGTAAGTCTTCAGGCATAGTTTGATCAGACTTTAAGTACTACTTCTATCCACGTGGGAAGGCATTTTTGTCTGTTTTTTTTTTTTTTTTTCCCACTATGTAACCTAGGCACTTAAAACAGTATCCAGGGCTTCCCCGGTGGCGCAGCGGTTGAGCGCTGGGTTGCGAAGCTGCCCGCAGCCTCTGCAGCGCCTGTTCAATCCCAGGCTGCTCCCCGGCCACCAGAGGAGGGTCCCGCATGGCGTGCAGACCTCTCCTGCCACCCGCTGCTCCCCTCAGCAGTGTGCTTCGGTCCTTCTGCCTGCTCTGCTCCCCGCTCTGGCTCTGGTGAATTCTCTCACCCTCCCGCGATTCTGACTGTACCCAGTGCTTGTATAAATAAATAAATAAATCTTTAAAAAAAAAAAAAAAACAGTATCCAGAACAATAATTATTTTTTTGAATGAATAAAATTATCTCAGCTCTGATTTCTCTGTGGGTTGGTTGGGTCTCAAGTAATGCATATCTGAGGGTGAAGAGACAAGGTCTTTCTCTCCTTTTTTTCTCTTCTCCCCTCTCTCTCGCTTGTCCCTTCTCTCCCAGTATTGCTTCCATGCACATTATTAGCTTACTAAATCCTCACAGTTGCACAAAACTGTTGACTTTTTTTTTTTTTAAAGATTTATTTATTTATTTATACAAGCACTGGGTACAGTCAGAAGCACAGGAGGGTGAGAGAATTCACTAGAGCCAGAGCGGGGAACAGAACAGGCAGACCGATGAAATATACTGCTGAGGGGAGAAGCGGGTGCAGCAGGAGAGGTCTGCGTGCCATATTGGGACACTTGCAGGTGGCTGGGGATCGAACCGGTGCTGCAGAGTCTGCGGGCAATTTCACAGCCCAGCGCTCAACCGCTGAGCCACCAGGGGAGGCCCAAAACTGTTAACATTTTACAGAGAAAGAAACAGAGGACTTAACTAAAAGAATATTCCTCTCACCATCCCATGAAAGATGAATGGCAGACATTTCTCCTCTAATTCTCAGCGTGTAGCCTGCATCTCCACTCTGAATGAGCAGCTGTCTCTCAATCAGCTGGATGAGGAGCTGGATTCATTCCCTAGTCCTGCTGGTCTATATATTCTCAAATTGGCAGTAAGCCTTTTGCTGTCTGTTGGTAAAACCTGTAGCAGTTTAACCACTGTATGGGGACAGCAGAAGCTCTGTGCCAGCCTGGGAAAGCATTGCTGTCTTCCCCTGGCCACCTGGGGCCAGGTCTCCAGATATTGATGGGCCCCTTCAGAGTCCAGCTATTTGAACTCTTTTAGGCCTTCAGCACCTAAGTTCAGATCGTCTTTTCTTAGATGATTAAATGCACCTTGATGAGGTGTGAGCTGGCTATCCAGCTATTTATTCCAAATATTTCATTTTTTGTTCTTTTATTGCAGAATGTCTCATGTCCTTGAGCTGAACCTCTTGGTAGAGGAATGAGTGTTTCTGCTTCTCCTGCCACTCCTTATGGATTGTCTATCCAGGAAACACCTCTGAGGACATTGGGCCTTTCTGAAGACTTTAAGGTGCCAAATCCCAGGTGAGAAGGATGTTTGAGCACAGCCCAAAGAAAATTACATGGTTTGAACTTTAATCAAGACCCCCAGTCAAAGGCAGCATGTGACAGACCTTCCACACTTGCCAGAATGTTAAAATGGGCCTCTCTCACAGAGACTGGCCAGAGATAACACCGAGCAGCAGCCAGAAGCCTCTCATTGTGTGAAGCCTGTGATCCAGCCTGGGCCGAGTCCACAGCATTGCATGCCTGTGCCACCAGGCTACTCTAGCCTCCTGTTTCCTAGCTCTTCATGAATCCCAAGAAAGAGAAGACACCACTAGCAACCTGATTGCCAAGGACCTTCCACTCGATGCCCCCCTCCCACCCCAGTCAGGTGTCATCTTTATAGGTAACATGGGAAATGATGTGAAGGAAAGCAGAGCAGGCCTGTGAGGCACGAGATCCCAGGTCCCCAGTGTACAACCCTGCTTAGTAAATAGGTGGGGCCCTATCCATGTGAGGTACAGGGTGGGTGTGGGTGTTCCTTATATGGAGGTTTTTTTTTTTTATGCCTTTCTTTTTTTTATTACATTATATATATATATATATATATTTACATCATTATTCTTTTTTTTTTAATATGGAGTTTTCATTAATGGCCTCAACAAAGATATATAGGATAGGCTTATCACATGTTCAGGTGAAACAAAGCCAGGATAGAAAGGCAGATAGGGGACAGAGGGAAAACTCCAAAATTCGTCAACTTAAAAACTCCAAAACTCCAAGTTTGGTTGGATCTTAGGCTCCAACCAAACTTGCATTGTAATAGATAGAATGTCACATCTGCCTTTTAGATTCATGAAATCAATTTCATCCCCTCCACATCCTGGGACATGTTTCCCTAAAACTCCTTTCCTCAGTTTCCAGCCCTACCTGTCTTCCTGCTTGCCCATAAAGCTTCCTTTAGGTTTGCAGACATCCCCCACCAACCCTTGTCTTTCTTGAAGTGGTTCTGGAGTCATGTGGGAATGTTCCATCTGGACCCATGCTGTGAGCTCTTACACCAATACCTCCAGCCCTATGGGTCCCAGAGCCACAGATAGGATAGGAAGCTCCTTGGCCTGGGCCAGGCAAGGGCTTCACCTGAGCTTTTTCTTTTTCTTTTTTTTTCAAGATTTATTTATTTGTTTGTTTGTTTATTTATTTATTTATACAAGAACCGGGGTACAGGCCAGATACGCGGAAGGATGAGAGGATTCACCAGAGACAGAGCGGGGAACAGAACAGGCAGACTGACGAAATACACTGCTGAGGGGAGCAATGGGCAAGACAAGAGAGGTTTGCCATGCCATGTGGGACCCTCGCTGGCCAGCTGGGATTGAACCTGCACTGCAGAGACTGCGGACAGCTTCACAGCGTGGCGCTCAACTGCCTGGGCCACCAGGGAAGGCCCTTCACCTGAGCTTTGGGGCAGGGTCTACTGCTGGACAGGAAGTGGCCACCATGTGCTGAAAGTTGCTCACTGCGGCATGGGCTCTGCAGTCCACACCCCTGTCTTGTAATATTGGGGACTCTGGTCTCTATAAGCTGTGCTTCATTGGTTTCTTTAAGGTCTCAATCACACATAGCTAAAGATGCTAAAGATGGTTTTAGAGAGGTATCTATTTATTCACCTAATATTTATTTATTTATCTATATATTTTTAGTCTTCCATTTCAATGTGTGTATATGTATGTGTGTGTGTGTGTGTGTGTGTATATATATATATATATATATATATATATATATATATATATATATGACATGTGCAGCCTTCTGTGAATATTTGATATGGAACCAATTACTCTAGGTTGCAGTAATTACTTTTATATAAGTAGAGTTGGGGATTTGTGAATCAGTTCCATGCCCATTAGCATGGATGTTTCAGCCAGGATTTTCCCTATCTTTTTAAAATAGCACTGGACAGCATTGAATCCTTGAAAAAAGAAATAACGCTTTTTTTTTTTAAAAGTTGACAGCACATTCCATCTACTCGGCAACGTAGAAATAATGAAGATGTAAGTGTAAGAAAACCTATAATTGAATCCAGCACGTAGCAAGCATAGTTTAACACGAAGCACACCCAGCTGAAATCTCATGCGCTAGCGATCTAATCCTGCCAGGGCAGCCGGCACTAGGAAATATTTCTGGATCGTGTCTTAGGCGGCCTTTTGCTATCCACGTAGCCAAGGCCAAATAAAAGTGACTTCAACTCAGTCAGGGAACACCCGACTTGCCTGTGATAAGATTGGCTTTGGGTTGATTATTGAAAGGGTACGAAGGAGAGGAAAAACAATTCTGAGAAACAGAGGTTTGGACTGAAGCTCTTCCCGGAGCTTTAATTCCATTTTCCTTGACAGCTTTTCTCAGCTCCCTGCGTGGAGGCCAGAGGTGTGTCTTTCCCCACATAGCAGAATTGGAGCAGTCCCTCAGGGATGTACTTTTGGGGTTCCAGCTGTCAGGGAGAGCTGATCAGCCCAGCTGACTTGTTCTCTGTATCTGAGGACCCCTTTGATTTGTGGGTCAGCGTAGGAGGGAGACTTGAGTGGAAATATGTGTTTTCCATTCAAAATTCCTCATTGATGATTCACTGCCAGGTGTCCCCAATGCCCCCAGTTGCTTTGTTCTTATAGCCACTCCCTGGAGATGTGCATTCTCGATGCCCTGTCCAAGGCCCTGCATTGCTTCCTGGCTGGGAAAGGAAAGAACTGCATGGCCCCCAAAACTGCCCTCAATCTACCAAAGAAAGTCAGGGAGTGTTCCTTTGCAGGACTCTCAGACCAGTCAGCTACAGCAGAAGGAGCAGCAGGTTTAAATGAGTGCACTGGAATGCTTCTGGCCAGTTCCCCAGTCCCCACCAGTCCCTATTGTGTCTCCCTCAGCTAAATGCTTACTTAAATGCTTACTTAAATATTTGGGTCCTCTGTCCAATTACTGGAGCTATATTTGTATGGAGTTTGTAGCGGATTGATACTGTGACATCCGCACCCAGCTGCCTCCTTGCCTTTTCTGGTCCCACACTGCTGCCGGCCCTGGGCACAATGCCATTCTGTTTCTAGCCTGCGGAGGGTACTGTGGCCTTCAGGCAACACCCAGGAAATCAGGACTGGTTGTGTTGCCAGGAGCTGTCCCTGCAGCCTAGGTGGCCCAAATTTGGAGCTACAGAAAAGTCCCTGGGTGTCTGCTGAGCAGGCAGCCTGCGTCTGGACACCCGGCCTTTCAGCTGTTGAGCCCCAGTTGGAAGAGGCATTCCAGGGACATTCTTTCTGTCTGGAGCAGGGACTTGGCCTGAAAACCAAAAACCGGAACCAACTGTGCTTGTTTGCTCAACCTGGAACCCAGTCCAAAAAAAATTTTTTTTAATATCATGGAGAATCAAACCAAGTTCTGGGGTTTGGTTTGTTTTCCCACCAGAGGACATTTAGTGGACAAGGCCAAACTAGAACAGCACTGTCTATCTCTTCGAGTGGCAGAGAGTGGACATGAAGAGAACCTCGACATGGGTGTAACATTCCATTGGCTCATGGGCAAAAAAGCGGGAGAAGGCAGGGGAAGCCCGCAGGGGTGGCCTAGGGGTCTCTGGGCTGGAGAGGCTATGGTGGTGGCAGTGCACCTCTGTCCAGAAGCGGGATCAAGCCCACATGGCTGTGGATGGGGCTGCTGGGTGTGGGTGGCCCAGCTATTGCTCCCAGGCAATGTGATGAATCTGGGATACCAGAGGTGGTACAGCCATGTACAGGAAGTAAGAACTTACTTTATAAAAGGACAAATCAATTGATTTTTTAGATTTTTTTTTTCTGGTCTACTCTGGGTCAGTCAATAGGTATTTCATTACTGCCCAACACCAAGCTGAGGCAGAACCAGAAGTAACCAGGGCAGGATCCCTGCTTTCTTGGATCCCAGGGTAGACTTTGGGGGAGGTGTTGGGAGGGTGAAGAGACTGGTGATAGTTAACATCGGGTACCCACCAAATCCATATCCTCCTGGAACCTCAGGATGTGACTTTATCTGAAAACAGCAATTTTGTGTTTTTGTTTTTTTTTTTATAATAAATTTTATTTTTATATTCCCCATACAATTGCAACCCCCCCATTCTGACCCCAATCCCTCCCCTCCCGCCCCCCACCCCCCAAAAAGTGTCTCTGGTTCATAGTTTTTTGTTGATTTTGATTTTCACTTTCTTATAGTTATTCATTTTCCTGGTCCCTCATTTAAGTTTTCTAGATTCCTGCTATGAGTGAGACCATCCGGTATTTTTCTTTTTCTTTTTGGCTTATTTCGCTGAGCATGATCCCTTCCAGCGCCATCCATGTTGCTGCAAATTGCATGTGTTTATCTTTTTTGAATGCTGAGTAATATTCCATGGTATATATGTACCACATCTTCTTGATCCAGTCATCTATTTTTGGGCATTTGGGCTGTGGAAACAGCAATTTTGAAGGTGTAATTAGAAATCTTGAGATAAAATCATCCTGGATTGAGGGGTGGGTCCTAAATCCAATGACCAGTGTCCTTCCAACAAAAGGAGGGCCCCAGAGACACACAGGGAGGAGTGTGTGCAGACAGCAGCAGAGATGTGTGTATAGCAGCCACATGTCATAGAAGGGGCCACCCGGAAACTGGAAGAGTCAAGGAAGGACTGTCTGGTGCCTCTGGAGGTGGGGGCCTGCCCCCCTGAGATCTTGATTACAGACTTCCAGCCTCCTGAACTGTGGGGAAGAAATGTCTATTGGCTTTAACTCATCCATTCTATGGTGACTTATATGGCAGCCACAGGAGACTAGTACAGAAACCACTGAGACACAAAGGCCTGCTGTATCCACACCTCCTTTCTGAGGAAAAATGGCATCTTTTGTGTCATGCGACTTTACTACTCTGTCACACTCAATTGGACCCAGGATTAACCAGCTTCCTGAGAACGTCCATCCATGAGGTGCTGCTGTTTGAGGTTGGGGGTCTCTCACCAACCTGTCCTTTGAGGGGAGATGACACAGTAATTTGGGTTGGTGGGACTGGAGTATAGAACCCTGAGGCAGAAAGGCAGAAAACCATCAGGAAAGCTAAGAAGAGAGACAAAGAGAGAGGGGAAGAGAGAGGGAAAGAGAGAAGGAAGGAAAAAGGAAGAAGGTAAAAAGGTCTGAAGAGAGAGAAGAATGACAGAGAAGGTGGGACATAAGGAGAGGGAGATAGAGGAAGAGGAGGAAGGGAGAGAGGGCACAGCCATGCGGCCATGTTAGCAAGGCAGGTAGCTGAGTTAGAGCCGCCTTCCCTGCTCTGAGAGGACAGTTCAGTCTGGCCACTGTGATTGCACTTGCCTTCTGGGCTCCTTCTCTTGGAATTCTTATAATTCATCCAAGTCCCTAGAAAACCCAGTTACTTGTCTGTTCCTTACACTCTGAACTAGCCCCACCCAACCCACAAACACAAGAGAGACCACCATAGAAAAACAGGAGTTCATAGGGTTGTATTGAGTCCCAGCCCAGCCCATATAAATGACTTCCTGGCTGTGT